GTATCCTCGGGTGAGGATTAAAAAAAGAAATGCTTCTGAGATCTTTTTTGATGTACCATTGTTAAGAACATAGCATGGTTGCATGTGTGAGCTTATGTGGAAATGTAGGAATGGAAATGAGGGTATTTCTCAGTTACCCGGGGAGCCGCTCCTCCACCGAGAAGCAGCAGGGCATCACTAATTTGTATCCGCTTTGAAAAGCGATTGAGGGAAATAATTATTTAGGGTTTCAGACATCCTTTCTCTAAAAATAATTCTTGCATTGACCAACATGGGGCCAGTTAATACCAGGAGCAACAGCATGAAAGTGTCTCATTATAATGAGATTCACATGGCGTCCTCCAAAAACCAGAACACTTCAACTCCAGTTGAAATACACAGAGTACTTGATGCATTTTGGAATCACACACACATAAAATCCATGGTTAATTTTGTATTTATAATGAAATATAAAATTAAGAAGATTTCTGTTGATCAGTTTGTAGACTACCCCCGACAATATTGTGCCTAGAAAGTATCAGTAAATCCTTGTGAAATTAATACAGTATTGCTAAAAAAATCATGCGGGCCAGAGAAACCAAAGGGGAATGGCATCTTAAGGAGAGAGCACCAATATGAAAAACCGGGTGTCTCTGTGTCGTGGAATAGGATCAGTCCAAATCTACTAAAACAGAACAGAAGGGTAAGGTTCTGTTGAGCTGGGTTCGGACGGGCAAAGCTGTGGCAGAAGGCACAGAGGCGCAGCTTGCTGTCTTGTAGGGTGTTCAAACGTAGGTCTGCCACTGATTAACCATGGGGCTTGGACGAATCAACTATCCGGTACGTTCCCCGGGCAGTTCACAGACAGTAATGAAGATCTAATTAGGTCATTTATGGCAATGCCTCCGGATAATAGCAAACCCTCTAGTTCAATAGTGAGCATGGCTTACGTCCACCTCATCGCAGGATGACTGAGCTGCTTTTGCCTGAATTGAGACCTGGGTACCTGAAGTGCAGAGCTATGCCATGGTGTTTTGTGGGGTCAACCCTAGGAGAAACTGGGGTGACTAAACAAGACTGAAAGAATAAGCAAAGCAGACTCCCATGAGCTTGTTGGAGTTTAAAGGGCCAGAAGGAGCAGTTGAGAGTCTCACGTCCCGATGGGGTTAACCCGGGGCCAGGAAGATAATAGTAAACACAGCTAACCATGAGCGGGGGTTCATTGCACTCCTGCCCGTTTCATTGCAGGCGCTACTCTAAGAGTTTACAAGTATGAACTCATATGTACTAACACTTGTCTCACTTTACAGTTGAGGGAAAGAGGTCAAATAACTTCTCCAGAGAGGTCAAATGACTTGTCCAGAGTTCCACAACCACTAAGTTTTGGAGCTGGGTTTGAATGCTGTGTGTCTTCTGAGCACCACAAAGGAGCAAGAACAACAGCTTTCTGCTGTGTCTGGGGTTTTCTGGAGAATCTGCTGGGTGCCGAGAGCTCTGGGGTCCCCCCCCAACCCCCCTGCATCCCATCCCCTTTCTCTCTGCATCAGCTTGAACCAGGCCTGGGACTGGGCTGTTGCACATTTACTGGGATTTAACTTTTCAATGGTTTAGGTTAAGAAAAAATTATTAACCGTTTTTCTTTTCGATGGGCAAATTATATCTTTTTAAAACGTAGTCATTAAACGTTACTTTCTTAACTTCTTAACATTTATTTTGCTTATTTTTAACCTATTTAATGATCTTTAATTTATGGTTTTAAGAGTTTTACCTTGGTATATTTATATTTATCATATTTTTTTTCCTCTCTCTAATTTTATTCTGGTAAATGATTTACCTTTCTTTCACAGTGTCTTAGGTAGGTAGCTAGTTAACTGGAGAGAGATATACAATTTTTTTATTTTAAAATTAGATGGGTTGCAGTTGTGTGATATACTTGTCAGAATATATTTGTCTACTAAATGTTTCTGGTTTTTACTTCTCAAATAACATTTTCTTGTAATTTCGTCAATGTTGTGGTAGCTATAATTTAAGATATTTTACATTATTTTTATCATTTTATTTTTTAGCTTATCTTGTACATTTATTGTTTGAATATTATCCTGTGTGTCTTGTGTTTCTTTTTACTTATTGCTTTCAGTTGCCAACAGAAATTGTGATCCTGAAGAGAAGCTCACAGTAAGAGAAGTCCCGTATCTTTTATCCCCGGTTTAGACCATCAGCAGCCTTTTTAGCTGTCCTTTAAATAGCTTCCCCAAAACTCCATTCCCATAAATGCTGAATCCCCCCAAAACGAACAGCAACAAAAAATCCACTGACCAACAGTTCTTCTCAAGATTATAATATTAATTTACATGTATAACTTTAAAGTGCTTTTTATGTTTATTTTTGCTCTCAAGGCTTCTAAAATTAGTTACTCCTCTAAAATTTCACTGTATGAAATGGTTGGATACTGGACAAATATTTTAAACATAAGGAAGATGGTATATGTTTTAAGCAGGGAAGAATCCTCAAAACACATATCTGGTTTGATTTTAATAAGAATCACATTGTAGGAGACCTAATAGAAACTATTTAAAGAGGATTTTAGAAAATGTGTTTTTTTTTTTATTTTAATTTCCATATAATACACATTCTCTATTGAATATAACTTCTTTCCAGGCATGGTTATGGAATGACCATGGTTCTAGTCTGTGGGTGTTCTAGGGGCCATCCCATATTAAATAGGCCAGTGACAAATTGGGTTAAGATAAGGTTTTTCACCAGGAATGTCTTAAGGATATAATTTGTTGCTTCTATGAGTGTGTCATAGTCAGTTGAGCTGCTATAACAAAAATACCATAGCCCTGGCCGGTTTGGCTCAGTGGTTGGAGCGTTGGCCTGCGGTCTGGAGAGACCCGGATTCGGTTCCCACTAAGGGCACGTACCTCGGTTGCAGTTTGGCCCCAGCCCTGTTTGGGTCGTGTGGGTGGCAGCCACTGGATGTGTCCCTTTCGCATCGATGTTTCTCTCTCTCTCTCTCTCTCTCTCTCTCTCTCCCTCCCATTCTATCTGAGCAAAATATCAAAAAATGTCCTCGGTGAGGATAAAAAAATAAATTAAATAAAATACCATAGACTGGCTGGCTTAAACAGCAAACATTTTGTTGTCACAATTCCAGAACTAGGAAGGCCAAGACCAAGGTGACAGTGCAGTTGGGTCCTCAATGGTGGGGAAGGCAGAGAGAGAACCTCTTTAGCATCTCTTCTTATAAGAGCACTAATCCCATAATGAGGACCCCACCCTCATGACCTAATTGCCTGTCAAATGTCCCATCTCCAAATACCATTGCATTGGGATTAAGGTTTCAATATATGAATTTTGGGGGATACAAACATTCAGTGCATATCAGGGGGTTGCTCCCTTGTTGTGCAGCCCAAGTATACTTGGAACTCGAGAACTTCTCAAGCATCATACACACAGTTTAGTTCTTAACTAAAAATTTTAATGCCCCACCAAAAGCCCTGTAAATATAGGAATCCTTTAATTCCTTGTCCATTTCTGTAAGAAAGAATACAGCGCCATGTTAGACAGATGTGAGACCCATTATAATAACATAATTACATTTTAAAGTAAAATCCTCAAATTCCTGAATACAAGTAATCCCTTTCTGAAGCCTTTAAAACTGGCAATCAATATCAATAAAAATTATTTTTGAAAATAGTTACCAATTTTATGCACCTTATAGGAGAGGTTATAGAATCCAAGGGTTTTTTTTTGTTGTTTTTTTTATCCTCACCCGAGGACATTTCTCCATTTTTTGTTCAGGTAGAGTGGGAGGGAGAGAGAGGAACAGAGAGAGAGAGAAACATCGATGCGAAAGGAACACATCGAGTGGCTGCCACCCGCACGACCAACCAGGGCCGGGGACAAACTGCAACCGAGGTACGTGCCCTTAGCGGGAACCGAACCCGGGTCTCTCCAGACCGCAGGCCGACGCTCCAACCGCTGAGCCAAACCGGCCAGGGCAGAATCCAAGGTTTTAAATGACTTCTAAGACATTTATTTCTCCAAACTATAGATAACCATTTCAAATATTACATTTGGCAGAGATACAGTAATTCCCCAATCTTATAATTTTATTAAACATATTAAGTAAAGAACCAGGTAATTATATTTTTGGTTCCATCAAAACTTTATAAATTTGTGTTTTTCTTTTATTTTTGCTCATGCTTATTCTTTCAAAATGCTACCTTTATTGTTAATTGGATAAGTAAAATTCTATCTGTGAATTGACATTATCTATCTCATTTTCAGAAAAGATTAATCTAAATTTAAAGATTAATCTAAAATTAAAGATTAATTAAATTTACTAATCTGTTAGTATTTTGGACATTTCTTCAATACTTTGTCAGTTTTTGTCTGAATAAATTTGAGTGTTGATTTTTTAGTCTGGTTGTTTCCCGTATTAAGAACACTATATTCTCATATTCTGCACACTGGGTCAGTACTAAAAACACTATTCTGTAAGAAAGTCTGCAAAAGATGAAACAAGATTTAATATTATATAAAGGTGTTATCTTGTACACTCCAAAATTTTTTCCCCATGTTAATATTCTAGAGACAGGAACAAAAGCATGTAGTTATGCTAGTACCTTACAGAAGAATCTCAAGAAATCTGAGTAAACCAAGTTCCACTTTATAGACTCACTGCAACTTGTCACAGAAGATGCCTATGCTCAAGTTCTCTGAACTGGGAATTATAAATCATTGCCAATTATTTGGGTCTCAAATATAGAGCATACTGAGATAACAAAATTGTGAAACAGAAATGATATTTTTTGTGTATAGAAAGAAGGAAAAAAAGAACCATAAACACACTGAGTATCATAAGAAACCTTTGAGATTATTGAATCTAATTTATGACTTTTAAAATCAACTCTGAAAATCTGAGCAAACATCCCATGATGGAATGGCAGGTCATGCTAGGTTTGATGTTGTCCTGTCAATTTTTCTCCCATGTTACCAATATAAGAACTAAGCTTGTGCTCGCTTCGGCAGCACGTATACTAAAACTGGAAGGATACAGAGAAGATTAGCACGGCCCCTGCGCAAGGATGACACGTTCATGAAGCGTTCCATATTTTTAGGGCATGTACCTCGGTTGCAGTTTGTCCCCGGCCCTGGTTGGGTTGTGTGGATGGCAGCCACTCGATGTGTCCCTTTCACGTCGATGTTTCTCTCTCTCTCTCTCCCCCTCCCACTCTATCTGAACAACAAATGGAAAAGTGTCCTCGGGTGAGGATAAAAAAATAAAAAAAAAGAACTAAGCCTTTCAGTTTTGATGCCAATCTCACAGAAATGAAGAGGATTCATGGGTTAACTATTGTTACTGTTACCAATAATACTGGCAATACCATTTTATGTATTTTGCTTCATCAATGACAAACCACTTTCCTACACTCGTTTATCTGATCATCACCAAAGTCTTAGAGAAACTTGAAGCCAAAACTTTCATCATTCTCATTTTACACAGTGAGGTTCAATAATGTGTCTGTGGTCACATAGCAGTAAACGTTCAAAATTAATCTGTGGTTCAGGTCCAGTCAAACCTTCTCATGGCAAATCTCATTATCATTTCATTTCATAAACTGAACCCCTTAGGTCTCATCCGACATCTTCTAAATGTGTATTTACCATTGCTCACAAGGACTGTGTGACACTGTGTGGATAATTAAGTGCCACCTACCATCTCTACTGGGGAAATCCTGAGGGTGTCAGTTAATCAGTCTCACACAGGAAAGATAATGTACTAGTGTCTTTATTGCAGAAGTATACTTGCAAATACAACAAAGGATCTTGAAGCTATTAAAATAAGCTTCTGATCCTTAGGGAAACTCTTTAAACACTAGAGCTATCATCAGAAGTCCTTGAGACAAGTAACCCAGGAGTAGAATGGTTATGATTACACTTTACAAGCAAACTTAAAAAGATATCAGGGGCTGCTTTACTAGGTCCCCTGCTATGAAGTGAGGACTGGCGGAAAAGCTACTGCCAAGCATTCTAGCCTGAAGGTGTGTACTATTTTGCATCATGGCAGACCAACTGCAGCCAAATATTTTCATTGGAAATACAGAAATGAATGACTTTGCTGAAGTCTGCTACCTGGGGAATCACATAAGACATACAATTTAAATTCTAATCATGGGTAGTAAAAATCCTATGATACCCATTCTGTGAAGGAGAATGGCAATCCTGGCAAGATGACAGGTTAGAAAATTACATTCCCCTTGTGTCAATTTGTTCTTAAGCTTCATTCAGCAATAAGAATTATTTATTTTCTCATTCAAGAGATAAGTACCTTCTAAAACTAAGCCTACTATTAGGTTGAGCGATATGAAATTGCCAATATTTGACTATTTGTAGTCAATAAAAATGCAGTTTCCTGTGGTTTAGATTAATATATGCCAAAGCATGAATATAAATACTTGCAGAAATTTAAAACCATTCTAAACCCAGCCTCACATGTACACATTATTTTAGCAAAACTATTAAAGGGAAATCAAGTCCCTTTACTGAAACAATACTTTATAAGTATAATAATTAATACTAGTTATTGTGTGAAGGTCTTTCTTTACTGTGTTAGTGATATGGTGAATATTCAGTTAAAAAAAATGAGTCATACTGCATTTGTCTTTAATTTTCAGTAATGGTGAGAATTGCAAATAGCCTCTTCATGTGAATAATCAGGCAAAACACCCATGTGGAAATTGAAGGTATATTGGTTACTAGTAATAAGTTTGAGAACTGAGTTGCAAAGGCCCATAGAATATAAGGTACATGTGTGTGCATGTCTCTCCACAAACACAAACACTACCCTTGTCAGTACAGCATAATCACAGGGACTAGATGTGGCAGCTGGCATTTCAAATATTTTTAAACCTGACATCCAGCTTAAAGCAGTTATCCACTATTCTTTTCAGGATAAATTACCTTATCGAAAGACTATTGGTGAAATCCTTAAAGATTGTGTTAAAGGGGGGAGGGGCTCTTTGATGCTCTTTGAAGAAAAATTATTATAAGAATGATTTCATTTTGCTTTCTTCCTATCTCTACACTTGTTCTTTTTATCAGTGGATGAAAAACATTGTGCTCTTCCTTCTTACACTGTTTTATGTTGCAACCAGTGGTCTTATAAGAAGATAAACTTTTGTGTTGAATTAGTTATTGCAGTACTATTCACACATAAATCACTACTCAGCAAATGCATTACCAAAGAGAGAGGACATCAGAAATATGACTGATATATAGTCTTAATTCAACCAACAAATAATTTGATATTATGAATATATTTTATGGGTTTATATAGCAGAAAAATAGTCCTCAACCTTGACTATATTTTCCATTAACAAATACTGATTGCCACTTATGTGGCAAATACTGTCTTAGGTGCAGGGATTAAAGGACATTATATTTTGGGGGGATATGAGATTAAATAAATCAGGGAAAACATCTTGGAGCCTTGGACAAGGTGGTAACAGCATGCCTAGCATAGAAAAGTGTTAGTTAGAGAGATGGGGGGGGGAAGAGGGGGAGAGAGAGAGAGAGAGAGAGAGAGAGAGAGAGAGAGAGAGAGAGGCACTATGGTAGTGCCTTGTCTTGGGAACTGCATGGTTGCCAGGCAGAAAATAAGTGTGGCAGAGAGTAAAGGGAGATAGGTTGTCTTCATAGAAATTGCTTTCACTCACCATGAGCACTTCAGCTCCTGAGTATCAGAGTAAATGGAGTAGGGAGGCTGTTTGTATTGAGTTATAAAACAGTTTTAGAATGAGAAAATTCAATTTTAAGCTTACACCTAGGAAAACATTTCTGAACACCAGCCCGGCAGAATCATGTCATAGGAACAGAATTATTCCCCTGTACAATAGTTATGATTAAGTGCTGGTTAAAATGAAAATAATAAGGATGTTTATCAGCATAAGGAATGAAAACTTTTTTTTTTTTTTTTTGCTTTCATTTATAAAATGTATTGTGTTCTGTAATTTTTTTCCAACAAGCCTCACGGAATGTGGAGTTCACTCTTTAGCATGATGGACCTATTACCAAAGTTGCGATGTTTTAGCCCTTTATTTTTTTCCTAGTGTTTTTCTCAGTCTTTCCATTGAGAGGTAAACTATGGAGAGAAAAGCCAAAAGCAAAGCAACCGGTTTCATCAGCACTTACATTTATTGTCTGGGTGCTGGGACGGCCTCTCCATACCAGTTAGTTCCATTAGGCATCTGATGCCTGTTAACAAGGCTAAATTATTTATGTGGACTAAATGCAGGCAACAAACCAACTAAACAAAACAAAAAAAAACACCTCTCTGAGACCACAAAAAGCGTTTAAACTTGAACAGAGAATTGCAAGTGATGTTCTCAGGAAGCCAAATTATTAGGACAGTAGCAAAATGTCCTAATTTGGAGGAACTGGTGTCCTGGCAACATAATGTGTTTACACCCATCTTCTTTCTCGAAGAGCCACTCTGTTAACATTTGCCGAGGCTCACTGGTGGTGGAGGCACCGCAGGGAGGGGAGTTTAGGAGGTGCGGTTTAGGAGGTGCGGTTTAGGAGGTGCGTCACGCTCAGCCCTGCCCCCCCGCATTAGGGCTGAGAGAAGGAGGGTTCGGGGCATTTTAACCCCATCCCTGGGAAAAACAGCACAATTGGTACTAACTTTCCTTTCTGAAAATAGCACAGGTAATTTTTCAGCCAAATAGATTTTCATCACAGAGGAATCAAAGGAAGAACATGAAGAAGAGCTGATGTCAGTGCTTCCGATGACACTAAAATTTGTTTAAAAATAAAAGACAGCATTTGCGGGCATGTTAGATTCCAAAACTGGAAGCAGATCAAATAAGCACAAGTAGGATATGCATATGCACTTACATATATTTTACATATACAGAGGGGACCTGTAAAGCATAAGGTAAGTTCAAGTCAAGGTTGACAGATATAAAATAATTCGGTCAAGAGCAATCAGTAAAATGTATGCCAAACCAAACAACACTTTGATATTCTGGTCGGGAATGAGGATTCGGGGTTATTTTGAAAAATAATGTCACCGTAACTCTGTCCAGAACTCACAGCTGCAGAAAGAGAAGTAAACAAGTGATCCTATTAGAAGCATGCAAGGCTAAAGAACAACCGAAGACTCACCACTTACTGACATTTTTGTTAGTTCCCAGTGATATGATTATAGCTCATACGAGTCCCTAAAGGGAACTACAAAAGGATGTTTCTAGAGAAAGGCATACAAATGCCATTTACTTGCTTGCTTGCTTTTAAATCAGAAAAATAAGAATGAAGATTAGGTAAAAGATATTTTCTGTGTTTGCTTTTTAAAGTATCTCTCTATTTCGTATGCGGTCATTTCACACACAGTCTTTTCCGACTGTCTCTTCATAGAAGGTTACGTAGCAGAAAGATGCTGCTGTTTACTGGGCCTTGCTACTGAATTCCATGAGGGAGGAGACCATGAGTTACTCTTGTATGCATTCCCCACTCCTCATGTCACATAACATAACATATGTGCAAGGACGTCCACGCCAACAGCAAATCCGATCACTGTTGCCAGGGACTTAGCTAGTGTGACTACCCCAATCAAGGAAGCAGCGAGCTTTCAGATTCGCGACAGGAAGGGAGCACCTAGAGTCTGTTGTTATGTATGTGCTAGAGCTATGCCCACCTCCCAGAAAACCAAGGGCAAAAGGTAGTCAGCTATTCAGGATTCAAGTGGAAACATTCACATAAGAATAGTAATAGGAAAAATATGTTTATATGACAATAATTACTATTTTGTACATCTCATCTTTTCGAGTACCTAGGAGATCTCTACTTTTGCAGTCCAAAAATATTTCATAAGCGAAATGCTACATGGGCCTCAGAACAGTATCCTTCAGACAGTGCATCCATTACCCGAGTCAGGAAACACTTCATTTGGAGCCCTATTTCATTATTGAAGAGAGTACTTTCTAAAGAGCTGAGAAATAGCCAGTCTCCCGTAACTTAGCACAAAACCAAGTTGGTGTCTTCACTTTGATTTCCCTTTTGAAATTAATTTCCAGTTTGATTTTCTTTTGCCTCTGGTGTTCTGGATGATGGTTTTG